AACCCGGCTCGGCACTCCGCCGAGCCAGGGAGCACCACCAGCGGCGGCCTCCCGCCAGATAAAGTGTTTCTTAAGCAAATACACATTGCAAACTACGTGTAAAGACATTTCTGAAACCAGCAACACCTTGGAAGTGCTTACTTCCACCAGAAAGGTCTCCACTTGGGGTGCACCATTTTGCCTAGGCGTCGCGTGTTTTCCAATCAGTTTTACACGCCGTAGGGAAAACGGCTGGAGCAAGGAAAAAGCTTCAGCCTTCAAGGCAGCTTTTCAAGTTTACCCATTTGATCTTTAGTGATATTTTAATACGCATTGCAGCCAAGTAACTGGAAGGCAATTCAGGGCTCAGCACCAAACTTCTATCTGGCACAGAATAGGGACATGGGCGCGTTCTGGCACTAACTTGCGCACGTGGCAACAGTAATCCTTCACAACCACTTCAGGTCACGGAATCAATCCGATTCGTGCAGCAGGTCATTAAATAGTTGAGAAGATTACTGAAATCATGCCCTGCCACACTTGTGCTGTTTCGTGCAGAAGGCGAAGCCGCGTAACTTCCTACGGCTAACGGGAGTAACAGCCGCGCTGCTCGGCACACCCAGCGCCGCTTCTCGGAGTGAAGAGATACCTTCAAACCCTCTCCACTAGCAGCGACGTGAAAGCTAAAATACGTGATTTTACTTTCTATCTGTGATGTTTTTCTTTATTGCCTTTCACTGCAAAGACGTCTCCAGCACCCGTCAACGCCCTCAGAGCGTTACTGAGGCGGTGGACTTCAGCAGCACCTTCACGGCTGTCGGCAAGCAGAGATTTTTTTGTCATGGCCGTTACTACTCCGGGCAGCGCTGCAGCAGGTGCTGCGTCAGCAACGCGCACCGTGGAGCGGCACTCGTGCAGAGGCTCGTTAGCGCTCGTTTGCCCGGGAAACCCCTCGCTCCCACTGCCTCTGGGCACCCCCAGACCCCTTTGCGGGCCGGCTCCTCTGACACCGGCGCGGGAATCTCGTGACTGGGAATTCTGGTGGTTACCACTGTACGTGCAAATAGTTTGAAAGACCGAAACACACAACTAAAGGCATTAATTGCAGAGAAATGCCAAACATACCCTGTCTAACCTTCTAGCTTCTATATGTCTAAGTAGCTGTTGTCTCCAGTCAGCGGGCATTTTAGCACAGCTCTCATTTCCCTTCACAGGGGCAGGCCTTGTCTTTATATCACTGCTATCGGAAGGCTTGTCGCCATAGTTACCCAAGTTATAGTCTGACGGTATCTTTTCCAGCAGAGCTGCCATTGTAGGCCTCGCTGAAACCGGCCTGGTTTGGGACGTGCCGTAGCTCTCCGTACTGTAGCTTCTTGCGGACAACGGCCGCCTTTGTGTCAGGTTTTTAACTGGAAAGCTCCCAGTCTGGGCTTTCACCTCCTGGTAGGGAGGGTGCTCGTCTTCGTACCTGCCGTTCCTCTTGAGGAACTGAGACTCGGAGACCGAGACGCTGCTCTGGCGCTCCACAGCTCCTCG